CAGATGGCTCTCGGTGCCCCACCCGAGCCAGTGGAACTACCCGCCGCTGCGTCTAAGCTGCAGGGGGGTATGAGTGGGCTGGGGAGAATTGGCTCAGGCCAGGCTGGACTTGAAGCCCCCCACTGTAGGATGTGACTCCCCCCAAGCTCTAAGGGGGGTGCACCCCTTGCTCGGTGGGTGATGGGAAGCCACGGGTGTAAGAGGGACTGGGGGGGGCGGCAGACTCCAGGCGCCCCCTGTCAGTGATAATATTTCTCCACCTTCAGCACTTGGCAGTACATCAGCATGGAGGAGACCAGGCCCAGGACCTAGAGGAGAAAGAGGAGGGTGAGGGGGGGGGGCAGCCCAGCCCATGGGCCAGGCCGGGCGCTTGGGGGGCAGCGAAGGGAGCTGGGCGATTAATCAGGGGGCCTGTGTCCCTGCCCATCCTGGCAACCAGTCGGCACTGGCCCTAAACTCCAGGAACCCATCTCATTCTTTTCCGAGCCCCATGTCCTGCGGGCGTCACAACATCCCCTGGCAGGGAGTTCCGCTGGTTAACGGGGCGTTGGGTGAAGCAGAACTGCCTGAGGTGTCTTAAACCTGCTGCCTGTTAACGGCAGCGGGTGACCCCTGGTTTGTGGGTCAGGTGATGGTTGAATAATGCTCCCTACTTCCCCCACCCTGCTGGTGCATCCGCCCCCCCCAGCTGGCTCTGCCCAGGCCTTTTCACCTCCCCTTACCCCAAAGCTGGGCCAGCCCCCACTGTGCCTTTGGTCCCTTTTTCAATTCTAATAGAGCTTTGTGGGTCTCCCTGGGGGCCCCTCCAGCCCCCTCACCCCAGATGAGACTCCTGGGGGTCGCCCCAGCCCAGGCCCCCCCTCACCTGGACGACAGCAATGCAGGCAGCGAAAATGCCCATGGCCCAGACGTTCTCCGCCACCCAGGACTTCACCTTCTCGTAGCACGGCTGGGGAATGGGAGAATCACAGAACCGGGGGGTCACTGAGCCAGGCCCCCTCCTGACCCTGCCTTATAAACCTCCCGGGCTGGGATCCCGCTGGCGGCTCCACTCACCCAACCGATCGCCCCCTCCCCGGCCTAGCCCTCTGCCCCGGCATGAGCTGCAGCACGGTGTCCCAGACTGGGCCCCGCTCCCCGCGGGGGGATCCCCCATAGCCCACCCCCAGTAACGCGGCCCGGGACCACCTGAGCCGCTGGGACCAGCCCCCGTTCAGCATGGGATCCGCTGTGACCTCATCTCTTCCTAGGCCTGGGCCGCTGTGAGCCCCGTCCAGGCTGTGGATTTCTGAGCCGAACTCGCCTTCCCTCCATCATGTTGGTCATGAAACACTCGCCCGGGGCCCCAGGGCAGTGGCTGGTTCCGAGGGGTCCGGCCCCACTTTGCTACGAGCCGGGCCCTGGGATGGCAGCAAAAGCCTCCCTGACGGCGAGATCTGGCGTGTCTCCGGCGGCCCCCACCCCACGGGGCCAGAGATCAGGGCGGGGCCGGCGCCGGGTGGTCATCACAATCCGTGCTGGCTCGTATCTGAGAGCAGATCCCACGGGCCCCTCCTCGGGGCTTACCTGGCCGTATGGACCACCCCCTCCTCGGGCCTTATCTACCCATATGGACCGCCCCCTCCTCGGGGCTTACCTGGCCATACAGACCACCCCCTCCTCGGGCCTTATCCACCCATATGGACTGACCCCCTCCTTGGGGCTTACCTGGCCGTGTGGACCCCCCCCCTCGGGCCTTATCCACCCATATGGACCGCCCCCTCGGGGCTTACCTGGCCATACGGA